GATAGTGCCCACCACGAGGGAGCAAGCCGTGGACGGTGTGAGCGCGGAGAGGAGCTCCCCCCCCCCTGCATCATGGGTGAGCTGACTATGGCGGGACATAAGTGCCAGAACAAAGAGGGAGGGCTCCTGATTCCTCGTTTAGCCCAGGAAGGGCTCCTGATTTTTCGTTCAGCCCAGGAAGGGCTCCTGATCCCCAGTTCCGCCCAGGAAGGGCTCCATCCAGCTCAGAGCGCCCTCCAGTGGCCGCTCCTCGAAAATGCCCGCCCTCCCACCCACTCCAGCCTCCTCCACCGCTGTCAGCCCCTCTGCTTGCCCTCAGCCCACCATCATTGCTGTGCGACCCCCACGGGACTGCCGTCCTCCAGCGTCGCCAGGGTTGGAGTATCCCTCACCTCCACCTCCAGCCTCCGAGGCCCGGACTCCGCCTCTGCCCATAGACCGAGCACCCGCTCCAGCCTCCTCCACCGCTGTCATCTGGCAGCCCCTCTGCTCGCCCTCAGCCCACCATCATTGCGGTGTGAGCCCCACGGGACTGCCATCCTCCAGCGTCACCGTGGTTGGAGACTGCCTCGGCCCGTAGACCCAGTGGCCCCACCTTGGCTCCTAGCTCCCTCGCCTCCACCATCACCCATCGATCCATCAGCTTCACCGGGCTCCCTCGTCCCTCCGGCTCTGCCATGGTCGGGCGTCGACCCGCCATCGCCTCTGGACTCCACTCCTCTGGCTGCGCCTCGTCGCTCTGTCCCACCGGCTCCGTTGGGCTCCTTCCTCCTGCACCTTGGTCCTCAGTCGCTCCGGCTCCACTGCGGATCTCCAGATCTCCGCCTTGGTCACCAGAGCCTTCGGCTCCACCCTGGCCCCCCGGATCCTCGGCATCCCCCTGGCTCGTTGGCTCTCCGTCTCCGCCTCGGGCTCCTCCACCACCTGCTCCGCTGCTGTTGGTCGGCCCCCTGGAGTTGGTGGCCATTCCTCCTCCATGGCTCCTCCCACCATCGGCTCCACTGTGGGCCGCTGTTTTGGCTGTGGCCTGGGTCCTGCTGTGCTCTTCCTGCTCCGGGTCCCTCCTGTCTCCTCCCTGGACTCTGTCTGCCAGCCCCCTCCCGGCCGTCCGTCCTCCTCCCTGAGCCTCCTCCCTAGTTCCCACCCACTCCCCTCCCCATGTTGTTTCTACGGTGCGAGGACGCACCTTCCGTAATGTACTCATAGCAGGAGTAATGTCACGCCCCTAGACTCTTTGTGTTGTGTTTTCCCTCCCCAGGTGTGCCGTGTTCCCTTTAATTAGTAATTCCTTGTACCTGTGTTTTTCCCAATCACCCAGTGTTTAAAAGCCCCAGTCCTTTCAGTTAGTGTTTGTCGGTTCCCCGTGTGATCATTAAAGATTGTGAATTGATGTTATCTCCATTGGCTCTCCGTCTCCGCCTCGGGCTCCTCCACCACCTGCTCCGCTGCTGTTGGTCGGCCCCCTGGAGTTGGTGGCCATTCCTCCTCCATGGCTCCTCCCACCATCGGCTCCACTGTGGGCCGCTGTTTTGGCTGTGGCCTGGGTCCTGCTGTGCTCTTCCTGCTCCGGGTCCCTCCTGTCTCCTCCCTGGACTCTGTCTGCCAGCCCCCTCCCGGCCGTCCGTCCTCCTCCCTGAGCCTCCTCCCTAGTTCCCACCCACTCCCCTCCCCATGTTGTTTCTACGGTGCGAGGACGCACCTTCCGTAATGTACTCATAGCAGGAGTAATGTCACGCCCCTAGACTCTTTGTGTTGTGTTTTCCCTCCCCAGGTGTGCCGTGTTCCCTTTAATTAGTAATTCCTTGTACCTGTGTTTTTCCCAATCACCCAGTGTTTAAAAGCCCCAGTCCTTTCAGTTAGTGTTTGTCGGTTCCCCGTGTGATCATTAAAGATTGTGAATTGATGTTATCTCCATGTTTCCTCGTTCCTCGCTCCTTGCCTCCCGAGAAGTGTGACAGTAGCAGTGCGATAAGGCTGCATATCAGAACGGCTGTGATATGGCAGTAGGTAATCACAGCCTGCTGATATATAGCCATATCGCACTGCTACGAGTGTGATATTGCATTTATACAACAGTTTGACGGCACAAGAGTGTAAATTTAAAAAAAGAGACCAAAAACAACAACAGTGTCTTTAAAAACCCTCTTTTGTGTGGAACTACTTCCTTCCACCACGGATTCAAATCTCAGTTTGACAGTTTAACAGCTGAGCTCAAGCCCCGTTACTAATTCGAAAACGTCACTTTAGAACTTTAATAAAGAAGGAACGTTGAGTTGCTTCATTGAAAGCTTATTGTATCACCATATTAAAAGCTCACTGTACTACTTATATAGAGTCAAGTATTTTAAGAGGGAGATGGACTGAGTGAGTGTGATTACCTGCATCTGATACAGCATTCATTCTTCAGCTCAATCTCATATTCACAATAATACATTAGTTTGAATGTCCGCTGAGGAAAGCGATATTTTTGTTGTACTATCCTTCCATCTGATAAGGGTGATTTCCGATGATAGCGCTGCTCACTGCATTTGTTGGCTGCGTCTTACAAGGTGTTGTTGAAAGTAAAAATAACTTCCTTTTTTTATGGAATGGCAGCAGGTTGGTGTGAGAGCATCTGCACGCACAGTGAGGCCAAGACTTTTGGACAACGGCCTGGTGTCAAGAAGGGCAGCAAAGAAGCTACTTCTCTCCAAGAAAAATGTCAAGGAGAGACTGAAATTCTGTAGGAAGTACAAGGATTGGACAGCAGAAGACTGGTGCAAAGTTATTTTCTCTGATGAAGCTCCCTTCTGACTGTTTGGGACATCTGGAAAATCGATTGTTCGGTGAAGAAAAGGTGAACACTACCATGAGTCCTGTGTTGTGCCAACAGTGAAGCATCCAGAGACCATCCATGTGTTGGGTTGTATTTCAACAAAGGGAGTGGGCTCTCTCACAATTCTGCCCAAAAACACTGCCATGAATAAAGAATGGTATCAAAACGTCCTGCAAGAGCCGCTTCTTCCAACAATCCTTCAGCAGTTTGGTGATGATCCATGCATTTTCCAGCATGATGGAGCACCATGTCACAAAGCAAGAGTGATAAAGATGTGTCTCGAAATTCATTACATTGAAATTTTGGATCCGTGGCCAGGCAACTCCCCGGATCTCAATCCCATAGAGAACCTGTGGTCAGTCCTCAAAAGGTGAGTGGACAAGCAGAAGCCCACAAATTGTGATCAACTCCAAGAACTAATAAGGCAAGAATAGATCGCCATCAGTCAGGATTTGGCCCAGAAGCTAATATCCAGCATGCCAGAGCGAATTGCAGAGGTTATGAAGAACAAGGGTCAACACTGTAAATATTGACTCATATTTTTTGCCAATAAAAGCCTTTAAAACTTATGATATGTGTATCATTGTTTTTCAGTATACCATCAAAACATGTGGGAAAATAATCTACAAATACTGAAGCAGCAAACTTTGCAAAACACAAAATTTATGTCACTGCCAAAACTTTTGGCCATGATAGTACACATTGTTAATGTTCAACAGGTTATGAACTCCACACAATGGCAACAACAATTCCAAATTTGCATTCAATTTGTCTTCTTTTTTGGCAAAATTAGTTCTATGCTTTTAGCTGGGCTGTGGAAGATAGGCATTTTTATATAAATGTCTGACTTTTATCATTTGTTACGGCTGAATTAAGTTTTGTGCGGTTCGTTTGCATTCTCTTGGCGATGCTCTGATAAAGAAATGGACGTCGGTTCTTATGAAACACTACAAGTAAAATAAAATTAAAGTTGGACATAAATTATTAACGAAATAAAATCTGTCATTATCTGCACGATCATTAGAGAGAAATTGCCTCCCCCAAAACAACAGGGTGTTCTCGAATGACCATTATGACCCTTTCTGGGCCAGAGACTGCATTCCTCTGACATCAGGTGGAGATGGAAATAGATTTTAGATTATGTTATTAGCGATGCCCATCTTGGGGTTCAGGTTCACTAAACCCTCCACTGGCACGATGCAGGAGTGCAGAGGCCAAAACCATTTAATTCCTCCTTCCAATTTAAAATTTGCAGACACAAGTGAACTTTGCTCAGCTGCTCGCCTCATTGAAAATGAGCCGCCGCACACATGCATACTCCACACGTTTATGGATATTGTCCCTTGAGGGTTCATAAACTCTGCTTGCCAATACAATTAAACGCAGGTGATCACTCATACTTTTTTTTGGATGCCTTTAGGATTTTGGCCCCAAAGTCCAAATGAAAATAGGCAACATATGAAGAAATAAATCATGTTGCTTAGTTTTTAAGCTGTCTTCAAAGAGGCTCTTTATGGCCGGGGTGCTATGAAGACAAATGAAACATTACGGGTTGTGGCCCTTTGTGCTTTTTATTGCCGTGTAGCCATGTACTATTTTGATAAGGCTCATCAAAACAGAATACAATTTCTGTATTTTTTCATCCTAGGCTGGCAAAGACAGCAAAACCTTGATTATAAGCCACATGTTTAGGAAATTAGATATATTTTACCTCAGAATTCAAGGAAAATTATATTGATAAAATTTAATTTTTTATGAAATAAATAAAGCCTGTTTTTTTTATAACAATTAAGATTTTTTTCTACACTGTGACATTCATTTCTTGACAGATAAACCCTATTTCTCAGAAGTGTACTGTAACAGTCTCCTTTGATGTGATGCAATAAATCTTTTTCATGAAAATCTAAGTCTCGTAACCAGCCGTGACCATGACAAATGACAAGTGACAGGACATTTTGATAATCATTTGGCTTCTTTTACTTTGGTGTCACACTGGGTAGACCTGCTTATTGTGAAATATAATTTGTTCAGAACTCTGCTACTCATAACTGTATATCAAATAACTTCTGATTGGTTGAAACTGTGTCTTCTTGTGCAGCATTTTTTGCTGTCAATGTGGACAGGATTGCTTGTCACTGGAAACTTGTCACATCTTTGGTTTCGCATATGATGTAAAGCGAAAACATTTCATTGCCATTCCCATAATGCAAAAAGTAATGATATAATAAAGTACAATTTTAAGAATGTATGATGATAGTTTTCATTATACTGAATTTAATTGATACAAGTATAATAATAATAAAAATAAAAAAAGAGAAATGTCCGGATTATTCTTCATACTTCATTACAGTATTGAGAATGATTTTTTTTAAATTACAGTAATTTGGAAGGAGAACATTGCAAAAAAATAAATCAGTATTTTCTAATTCTAATCTTTAATCTAATTTTTGCATTGTTTTCCAGTCGTGGTAACAATTATAAACAGGCTATACTTAAATTTTTGCCTTGTTCCTGATATGAATCACAAATTTCAGTTTGAGATTCCTGAGTGTTTTTTTCCCCCTAGTACACCTCAAATTTTCTATACTCACTCCGGAGGACAAGGCTCGGTGTTGCAAGGTCGCTGGTTCCCTGGCGGTTTGCCGTCCGGGTCGCAGTAGCTGTTTTGGACCACCGAACCGTCGTCCAGTCTTTTACAAACCACCTCCTGCTTCTGCGAGCCTGCAAAAAGACAATAAAACATCACTTCATTCATCTGCCTCACGCTTTCAGCTGGGAGATAGTTTTCGACACTTCAGCAGCTCGTGTGCAAGTGTGGTCGGCATCGATCCCTGAGGTAAAACTACTTCTCTGTCTCTTCTCTAGGGGTCCACTTGCTGACAGAGCACTCTGTGTGGATAGAGGCACGGAGGCGATATTATTTTTCCCTCAGTATTATATCTAGGTGTGTAAATGCCTCGGTTGAAGTGAGTGTCTTAGTGAATTACTTTTACAGAGAAGCCAATCTTTTCTTTGGCTCTTGGTTGTGAAAAGTGAGCATTACCACAGTAATGGCAGAGTAGTGCTCTACGCTATATACTCAGCACTAGGAGCCATTGGTGCAGGGGCTCTTTGGGGCCCATAAGAAAAGACATTAGCCTCCAGTTAAGCTGGTTTATGCCAAGATTGGCTAATGCACAAGGCCACCTTGTGAGGTGGATCTAATAGCTGCCAATACGGCATTCTTGACTGGGAAACCGAAATAACGAAATACTCCGGTGGGAGCGTGATGACCCCTTTCGAGAAAAGAGATTTGATTAGCTGAAACCAAGCTAGGGTGTAAAAGTAAAATCTCATGACATCAGTTTATGATGTAAGACCGTTATCAGTGTTGTTGCACATAACGATCAAAATAAAAAGACGGCAACATTGAAATTTAATGGGAGTTTGTAGAAAAGCAGGAATCAAGCCCAAGCATCTGTAGCGGTGTGAATCACAAATAATTTTTAAAAGAATATTGCAGAATTTTTATGGCAGTTCACTCGGTGTTTAAACGCTCCCTGTGTGGCTTGCCAACAGAACAGCGGTGAATTGTATTAATAACACAAAATTTCAAAAATGACATAAGTGTTGCTCTGGGGTATTTCTATATAAACTAAAATGTGTTCAAATGAATTGAGCAACAAATGAGGTTGAGTTCACTGAGCCCGGAGAAAAGCCCTCCGTGGACTAGCCTGCGATGTTTGCATATTTTGGTGAAATATAACACGTATTTTGAATGTTTTCAATGGCCATACTTTAAAAAAGCAGAGAGGAAAACTATTTATTGTTGTAAGAAAGCCATTTATTTCGGGGCAGCCTGAACAGTCTGGTCATATTTGAGGTGAGGGCTCACATTTACATGTGGTTATGACATTCAGATGTTGAAATAAGCCTTTCACTGCATAACTTGTACATTAGCAGTACAAATTGATGGACCATATAGTCCTATGTCAGATAAAATACACATTTATCATTCTGTTGGATTTTATTACTAATAAAAAAGATGACTCTGCTGAAAACACCAGCATGAATTTACAGTCCAATATGCTTCACAAACAAGACATGGCAAAGCAAAATAGAGCTTTCAAGATTCAAAAAGACCATAAAAGTACCATGAAAGTATCAAAGTAGTCCACACCAGATCAGTTCAATTCATAATAAATCATTCAAACAGGTTTTGTGCAACAGCAGGATGCGCATACATTTTAAAAGTGTGCATAAAAAACTTGTGCGCTCGATTTTTTGACAAGAAGACATGCACATAAACTACAATGGAAACATTTAACTAATAAAATCCTTGATGCACATCAAAAAAAGTCATGTGACTTTGCCTCAACGGATCATGTGATTGGATAACTGGATAAGTAATCAAACACCATATCAAATGTTAATCATTTTGAAATGCCTGAGCCAAAGTCTGTCATCAAAATGATTTGGTATATTAATCAGCTCCCATATCTGTCTCACATGATTGTGTTCCCAAACATTAGGAATCCTGATTTATTTCATAGTAAAACAGAGCCACAAGTATCCCCGGATGCAGCAACTTTCATTTTTATTACTAATACTTTGCACCAGTTTCCCAGGAAGTGACGATATTGTTCACTTGAACACATGGGATGGAAACAGTGCTTTATTTACAAATGTTTTGTGTGATATTTTAATTTTGAGCACAAGTTAAATTCGCAACTTTAGATGGAAACAGCTAATGAACAGTAGTTACAACAAACTTTCTTAGTAAGGACGTGAATGATTGATTGGTTTACCTCCTGCACATGTTTTAGAGCACTCAGACCAGGGCAGATGGTGCCAGGAGAAGCCCACTTCATTGTCCCCACTTCCTATACGCTGGATCGGCACATTGAACTTGTAGTGGATGCCCAGGTTTTGTTCTTGTAGTAGCACCTGAAACATTAAAAATGGATGGCAGGTTACTTTTCTGTTGCTAATATAGTGGGTCTACCGAAGAGTTCAGGGTCTACCTGGTTAGTTTTGTTCCCAAATTGTGGCAAACAGCACACCGACGGACACAAATATTTTAGTATATTATAGTAGAAGGAATTTTAGAGTAGTTCATAGCTGGACTGTGCACATTCTTTGGTGGCATCAGCCAATCAGTGTTGTCGTGATGTTATTTCCCTGCCTGACTGGCTCAAAGAAGAAAAATTTGATGTGTCAATGAGCAAAGATGGATGCAGGTTGCAAACATCAGAGGCTGGATGCGCCAACCAGGCACCTGTCATTGAGATGAATTGGAATTTCTCCAGGTATTATAGAACTCCATGGTCTTAACCAAGGATTTTGGCAAAGGAAGTTAGTCTTGGATCGGTGACAGAAAGACAAATACCGAGGTCTTAAAAATGCATGGAATAGAGCAATCAAATTCTTAAGAAGAGGAGATTTTTTTGGGATGAGCCCAACCTCAGTTCAGCCTCAACGAGCACATATTTAGCATATCACATCAGCTTTACTCCTGAATTACTTAGTCAGAGAGCTGTAATTGTGTGTGTGTGTGTTATAAATTGGAAAGCCATGTTAACCAGTGTGGGCCACAATGGAATGGCTTGCGGTGCACTGGCCACTTGTATGTTTTCCAGCGGCGCTGTGACCAGGCCTGGTATTTCCAGCACTTTTGTCCAGGCGAAAGCCATTGTGGTTGCCGAGATGGGGCTTTTTAGAATGAACACACACGCGTGCTAAAACATGTGCACATGAGCACTCTCATTTGGACAGACAGAGGTTTTTAGTGCAAACATATATAACGGTTAACTCTGAAACCGTAGCCAGAGTTCATGTGAGGTTTGTACACAGATGTGGACTTTATTTAGAATGAGGCAAGCAGTTTCAAACTGCGCATTCACAACACAAGCCTGCTCTACAGTATCACTACTGTGACTTTCCTATAAGACAACTTGACTGAATTATTGTCAGACTATAAAATCTCATATAAAGGAAAGACCTGAATTGCTGTGCAAAAACCTATTCCACTTTGAAATTGTATTTAACTGTAGCTTGTAGTATTAAATTAAATTGTAGTATTAAACTTTAGCTTGCTCTATCTGTTTTCTTTTTATTTATTATATGATTTTCTTGCTACGTGTACTGCATTAAGCTAACTGAGACTTGTTATAGCACTTGCATTGCTCTTTTGTTGATTTTGATTGCTTCCATTGTCCTCATTTGTACGTCGCTTTGGATAAAAGCATCTGCTAAATGATTAAATGTAAATGTAACTGTAGATCTAATTTTCAAATAAAACATTTTCGTTGTCGATAGAATGTAAATTGTGTCCAATTTTGTGAAACTGATTCATTTAAAAAAAAACATTGTCACACATATCATTGCATTCTGTATTTTTAAACGATGTTAAATGTATTTAAAAATTTTCCAAGCAAGTAAGCAAAATTGTCATACAAATACAGTAACTGTGCAATGTGAATGTATTTTCAAAAACACTAACCATGACATAAAATGTATTTTACATAAAAATGTAATGAGTTTTGCTGAAAGGAAAGTGAAGAAGTGAGAGGAAAAAACAGGTAGAAGAGAGGAAGGGGACACACACAAATTAGATGCTCAAAACTATGTGGGAAACCTGAGTTTGAATGTAATTGACCTGCCAGGCCATATATCCTACATATACTTCTAAAACACTTGCACTTCTAACACACTACTGTATTCTTTACAGTAAATAAAGTTCGACTCACCATAACCACCAAATTTTCAGTGGTGGCCCCTAGAGCTTCTAGCGACTCGGGTTCGTCAGTCGGCCTCTTGTAGTGGAAGGCTGTTCCTGCAATGTCAAATTTGCGGGGCCAGTCGATGGTCCAGGCTCCGTTGATGTAATAGTCATCCCCCTCCGATTTCAAAGCTGTGACAAGCGAGAGCTCCAGTTAATAACCCGACACGAGCAAGATGCTGTCAAGCAGAGAGAGAGATGACATCGCTGTCATTCATCAACATGATGAGCATCGTCTTACAGAGGAGCTCAGGCCTGACGTCAAGGGCAATTTTCACTCTCACTTTCAGACGCTGTGCAGCTTGTAGATCTAACTTACCAAGTTCAGGTGAAAGTCTACCTTCCTTACAAATACCGTAACTGCTCAGTTGTCAAAACAAAGATCTCATCTCAAAGCATAACACACCTCAAAATATTCACTCTTTTCTTGATGCAGATGAGGCCAAATTGTAGAAGAACAATCCAGATGTTTTGTACTCACTCCAGCTCAAAAAGACACCATTTATTTTTCTTAAAGGTACACCAAGTATTTTTCAAACAAAGAAATTAATGGTAGTTTTAATAAATCTTTCAAATGGTAACACTCACATTGAAGATTAGGATGTTTTATTACAAATTGGGCAGCTCCAAATAGCCAAATATTATCTTGGTACTAATATTTGGCTAAACTAGCTAAAATAGGCCAATTGTAGCACACGATTAGTCTCAGCCTGCACGCCAGTCACGCCCACGGACAGTTAGCTGAACGTCTGATGCATACAACACACAAAACTGGAAACACTTCAGGAGTTTTGAAGTTGTCTTTGGATTGGTTGAATTATACAGGATTTCCGGGAGACCCCCTCATGGGAGAAGAAAGTCGTCGTGTTTACAACTGTGATAATGAACGCTAATCAGGATCAACTAAGTGTTGGATTTTAAAAAGTGTGTGAAATATTTAAAGTTCATGGCATAGACTCTTTAAAAATGTAACCCCCCCCCCCCCCCCCCATGGAACAATAAAGGAGAAATTTAGCAGAATGTTTAAACTGCTCTTTTCCATGCTTGAAAGTAGTGACTAGCTCCCAAAAGGATAAAAAGCAACATAAAAATAATATGACTTTTACACGATTGACTGAAAAGACTGAAATTTAAGCCATTATAACCTAAAAAAAGGATTCACATTTTTATACATAGTGTGTCAAGATGTGTCAGACAGGTTAGATATCGATGATACCAAACGGCAATTGGTTCTTGCAAGTCTCATAACTGAAAGTGACATGGCATGTTTTGATATGAATGCATAAGCATTCGCCATATGTGAAAGTTGTATAAAAGTACTTTTGTGTTCCATGGAATAAAGTAAGTTATACAGGTTTGGAACAAAATAACTGAAAATAATAGAATTTTATGCCCTCAAACTATCAGTTACATGACACGTAGGGCAAAACCAACCAGAAAGATAAGACAGTTGTTTCAGTTAGAAATGAAAAGAACTGACTGATGTTAAACATCAAATGAACCAATTCTGTAAGCATGCTACGTCATCCGCCAAATATTTGTCAGACATTAAGGATCTCAAGACTATTTCAAAAGATTCTCACTTTAAACAGGGCCATATGTTTATATTTGACAAATGTGGCATGCATGTGAATGTCTGAAGGAGACAAAATGTGTTTTACAATTTTCTTAAATACGTTGCTCGCAAGCTCTTTGGCGCTAACATTGGCCACTGCTGTGCTAGAACATCAATAAATTATCTTCCTTTCAAACGGCGAGAAAAACCTCCACATCAACATGATAGATAACAAAACCCAACAAGCTGTCATTCACACTAGCTAGATTTATGTTTGTACTCAAAACAACTTAATTGGACCCGCTTGTTTGATTGTTTTAATTAGTTACGTGGCTGAGAACCATGATGGTGTTACTCAGCTTGCGGTTGGGAAAAGACAACAGGCAAAATCAAGGCAATGAACAAATATAAGACATGAGAGCGAGGAAGGCTGTCAGATTGATCCAGATTTACACCCACAACAAAGCCTAAAACAAACCATTTCACTACTTTTGTACCCAGTATGGCTTCATGAACAAAGCTTCAAGAAGATAAATACAAACACTCACCGATGTAGTTCTTTGACACGGCCTCTTCTCTGATTTCAATATGAACCGATCCTTTTGGTATCTGGACAACCTCCATATAACCTACGAAATATAAAACTTGATTTAGAAAATGTACAAAATGAAGCAAAACCTGAATTTTACTCACAGAACAGCACTATTTTGCAGTTGTCCATAAATGTGCATGCATAGATGTACTATGTTTTATTTTAGCAGCATTTTTTTTTTTTGCATCGTGAGTGCCGCAAACCCACAATGCCATTATATTTAGGTAATGATGGTCGCTTAATCAACTAGTCCACCCAACATATGTATTTAGTTTTTATATTTTTAGTGTCACTTAAATTAGCATGCTGTGCTTCAATTAGCATTAGCGTGCTATGAGAGTTTGCTCTGTATATCTCTCTCTTAATTTTTGTCTTTGAATTTATCTCCATTAAAGCACCACATTCAGATACTTTTTTTGGCCACTGTGTCGCCTCTTACATGATTACATGATGTTTTTTGAGTGTATAACTGCAAGATAAATATATACACTACCGCTCAAAAGTTTGGGATCAGTAAGACTTGTAATGTTTTTTAAAGAAGTCTCTTATGCTCAGCAAGGCTGCAAATATTTGATCAAAAATACAGAAAAAAACTGTAATCTTGCAAAACGTTATTACAATATAAAATAATGGTTTTTATTTTAATATCCTTTAAAATATAATTTATTTCTGTGATGCAAAGCTGGAAATTCAGCCATTACTCCAGTATAAAGTGTCACATGATCCTTCAGAAATCATTCTAATATGCTGATTTATTATCAGTGCTGGAAACTTTTTAAATTTTTTTGGGAAACTGCGATACTTTTTCAGGATTCTTTAATGAATAACATTTAAAAAGAACAGCATTTATTCAAAATATTAATATTTTCTAACAATATAAATCTTTGCTATCACTTCTCATCAATTTAACACATCCTTGTTGAATAAAAGTTTTAATTTATATAAAAAAAAAAGAATACAAATTTCCTGACCCTAAACTTTTGAACAGTAGTGTATATGGTTAGAAAAGATTTCTATTTTAAATAAATGCTCTTCTTTTTAACATTTTATTCATCAAAGAATCCTGAAAGAAAGTATCACAGGTTCCAAAAAAATATTAAGCAGCACAACAGTTTCCAGCACTGATAACAAATCAGCATATTAGAAGGATTTCTGAAGGATCATGTGACACTTTATACTGGAGTAATGGCTGATGGAAATTCAGCTTTGCATCACAGAAATAAATTATATTTTAAAG